ATGGCCAAGTCGAAGAACCACACGAACCACAACCAGTCGCGGAAGAACCACCGCAACGGCATCAAGCCGCCGCTGCCGAGCTACCTGCACAACTCCAGGCGCGGAACCTGGCTGCCGGCCCTCGTGAACTCCCGCCGCGTGCGCAAGAACAACCAGAAGGCCGCCATTAAGGCTCGCCGTGAGCNAGGCGCGGAACCTGGCTGCCGGCCCTCGTGAACTCCCGCCGCGTGCGCAAGAACAACCAGAAGGCCGCCATTAAGGCTCGCCGTGAGCGTCTCGCCGCGCACAAGGCCGCACAGTAGTAAAGAGGAATGCCTGGCGTTTTCTTCGGTCGTCTCCCCTCTCCTCCTCGTTCAGATTTGTTATTTTTGCCTTTTCTCGTTCGGTGGTGAGCGGGGATGCCACTGTTTTTCCTTCTTGGCGTGTGCGGCCCTCCTCTCCACGCTGGCTTTGGGCGTGTGGGGAGTGTGCGTGCGCGTGTGTGGCCGTCCCCACGTAAATGCCCAAGCCACGAAAAGAAATGTGCGCATCAACACACCTTCATTCTCACTCTCCATTTTTTTTTCTGAGCTGGTGACTGCTTCTGTCTTGGCGCAGGACCACCACTCGTAAAGGGTGTAAGTATCGGATTAGGCAAAGTGGGTAATATATATATATATATATATATTACATTTTAGATAGGGGCAGTCGTATAAGATGCTGCGCCGAACGGCCCGTCTCGCTCGCACGCCTGTCAGCGTGTTTCTGCACGAGCCGTCGCAGCGGAAGACGTTTGATGAGACACTGGCCGAATGCAACGCCAAGGGAATTGACATGGCGAGCAGCCTCAGTTCCGACTTCGCCCTTCTGCAGTCGAAGCTGCTGAAGTACCGTGTTGTTCGCCTGCGCGACGAGCTTCGGTACGTCCGGCGGCACCCAATGAATAGCCTGCCTGCTTTCAGTAGCCTGATGATGCACTTGGTATGCATGACAGCGCTTTTCTTTCTGTTCCGCATTATGGGCCGACTTTCTTTGTGGCCGCTGGTGAAACCACCCGGGGAACCTGCGATTGTTTCAGCGGCAGAGGTAACTGAAGGAGATACACCATCTAGCAACGGTGAGGAAACGAAGGAATAGTGAATGTGGAGTATCCATATGTCCCTGTGCGGGTTTGATAGGTTGTGGCAGTGCAGGTAGCGGATCAATTTAAACCATTCTTTTTTAGTTTGTACCCTCGGCGAGCCGCGCAGAAATTCCCCGCCCACTGTCGAATGAAGTGGCTATCACTCGCATACAAAACGCAGAGGTTGCACGCACCTACAAATTCACGTATTCATACGGGGATATGTGTATTCACGAATCGGGCTACCAGCAGAAGCTTTTGACTACTGCTACTGCTACTGCTACTACTAATAATAATAATAGCAATACTTCTTCACCTTCTTTCTTCACTCCGGTTTTCTTTTTTGTTTTCTTGTGTCTCCTCCTCTCAGGCCTTTGGGTTAAACACCTTCGCTCGCAGAGGAGGGACGCAAAGAGGCTGAGTGAGGTTCGTCTTCCGTGTGACACGTGGCTTGAAGGAGTGTGAGAGACGACACAGGTGAAGCCAAGAATATAGCGGAATGCCCCTGCGTCGGCTGCCGAAGCGGCCGAAGATCACCAACACGCAGATGTTGCTGATGCGCCGCCGCGAGCCGTACAAACCGACGATGAAGGACCGCCACGAGATTGAGAATCGTACAAAGCTGGAGGAGTTTGAACGAAAAAACGCAGAGGGCCTCATGTTCGTGCCAGAGGCTGTCTTGCCGCCGTGGCAGAAGTCCCTCGCGCTGAATGCCGCCTCGGTGGCGTCGCGCATGAACTTCAGGGGCTTCCGCGTCCGCGTGGCGGACAAGCAGGACGAGCCCGGCTTCCCAACGCCCTTTCGCTGAGGGGTGGGGGGCGCGTGCCGCACCTTTTTCTCTCGCTGCTGCTGCTGCTGCTGCTGGTGTGTAGTGGCGGGGCTCGCTGCACGCGTGTAGGGGTGCTATTTATTTTCACCGGTGCTTGCTGTTTGTTTCGCTGTCACGATCACCATCATAGCTGTTCTTCGCTTCGTTTCTTTTTTTTTTTGCCTTTCCCTTTGCTGATCTGCCGCCCTTCGTGGTGTGAAAGGCATATTATCAACAGCAACCACAACAACACAACGATTAGGCCTCGCAAACACATACGGCTGCAGCAACAAGAAGAAGAGTGACTGCAGCAACCCGCGGCGAGCTGTATGACGGAGGCGTCACTCGATGCGTGCGCTTCTGATCTTTTTGATCTGGTGGAATTGAATGGCGCGGAGGCCGTGCCGGCCGCCACGTGTGTGGAAATGCTGCGCCGCGTCAATGCATCACTCTCACATGACGTCGCGGTGGCGCTTGTGAACGACGCAAAGTCGCCAGGTCGTCGGGATCTCGACCGAGATGCCTTCACTGCTGCTCTGCTGCGTGTACTAAGAAGCATGCCGTACCAGAACTCTCTCCGTGTGCTGCGTGACGTGACTCGTTCTCTACGACTGGCGTTTCGTAAAAGGTACTTGATGATGGACGTCAAGGCGAACACGCCAATTCCGTCACTCACGGAAAACCCGACCGTTGTCTCGTTGTTTCAGGAGCTCTTTGTTGTGGCGGCAAAAGGCGGGGCATACATCACACGGTCGCAGCTGCGGCAGCTGGTTCACGACATCCTTCCAGGCGACCGAGGTAGTGCAAGCAACGTCGTCAAGGCCGCCATGTCGGAGGACGATAGTGACCTGATCGGCTTCTATGAATTTGTGACGGTGATGCAGCCAATCACATCACGTTTATCGCTGAGCGATTTGGTGGAGCAGTTTCGCTGCCGAAGGGCGGCATCCGGGGAGTGGAGGCCGTCTTCTTCAGATGCCGCCCCATCCAGCCTGCGAGGAGCCGAATCTGCAGCGCCGTCTGCACCGACGCCGCCGCCGGGTCCGTTGGGTGCGGAGCTGCAGATGTACCGCCAATGGGACGCCGAGGCGCAGCGGAGGTTTGCCGGTGTGTCGATGCAAGGATGCATCGGAGCCGCGAGCGGCCTGCCTTCCCCGCCCTCTTTCCTCACCAGCGGGGCGGCCGTGAGGGGGGAGGGTGTCTGCGGGGGGAAGTCGAAAACTGTGCTGGAGCAGGAGGTGGTACGGCTTCAGCGTGAGAACGAGGCGCTGCGCCACGACCTCCTTCGTGCACAGACCCGGAGGCCATCTGTTCGTATAGAGGATGGCGGGCGTGTGATGGAGCTGAGTGGCGACGAGTTCTTCAACGAGGAAAACACCATTCTTCGGAGCGAGCTCGCCGCGACGAAGGAGCGACTGCGCATGTGCCAGGCCACGATCGACCTGCAGGAGGACATGACAGCTATTGGTGCCATTCTAAGAACTGGCTGCACGTCGCGCGAGGCGCTGCTGAACGTCTACCCGGATGAGTCCGCGCTGCTGCACCGCTACCACCACCTTGTGCAACGGGCGGAGCGGCAGCGGGACGCTGTGGGACCCCCGGGGAGTCCGGCTCGGCTGCTGCTGGCGCAACTCGATGTGGTGGTGCAGGGCTACCAGGCACTCTACCGGCAGCTGCGTGAGGCGATGGACGCCGACGGCAGCGCCGCACCAGTGCCAGCACGGCAAGGAAGCTTGCGACGGCGCCGAGCCCCATGGGTGGACTGAAAGCCGGCTCCACCACCCAAAGCACCACCTGCCATCATTATATATCATGAGACGAATCCGTAGTGACAGTAATGGCAAGAGATGCCCAAGTTTTCTTATTTGTATTATTGCGATGCATTCGTCCTCCGGCCGGTGCACGTATTGTGTTGCCTCTCTCTGCCTATTTTAGCGTTCACATGTGAACTGCGTGTGTCGGTGTGGTGCCGCTCTGACGGGTGTGGCTGCTGAGTGAAGATGAGCCACCTTGTTGTTTGCATGTGAGAGGGAGTGTGGGCTTTTCTTTTTTCTTTTCTACTCACACTGGAAAAGCAAAAAACAAAATCAAGATAAGGAGGGAAAGACAACAACAAAAACTGAAAATAAACACCAAACTAACGAGTTATACAACAACATGCCTGAAAGCATCCAGCCGAACATCCACTGTGTGGGCGACGTGGAGTCCACGATGGGGGTCGCTCGTGAGATTATGGCCAACGCCAACGGTGCTCCATACGCCGTGCTTTCGGAGTCACAGTCGAAGGGACGCGGTACCACTGGCCGCACGTGGGTGTCACCAAAAGGAAATATGTACTTCACTCTCTGCGTTCCTGAGAAGTCAATCAACGAGGCGTTCGTTCCGATTCTGCCGCTCGTCACGGGGCTTGCGTGCCGCGCGGCCGTCATGGAGCTCATCAAGGGTGCCAATGTACATGTGAAGTGGCCAAATGACATCATCTACGATGCCAAAAAGATTGGCGGAAGCCTCGTGGAGAACGAGGAGGAGNGCCAATGTACATGTGAAGTGGCCAAATGACATCATCTACGATGCCAAAAAGATTGGCGGAAGCCTCGTGGAGAACGAGGAGGAGTACCTGCTGATCGGCATCGGCATGAACGTCGCGGTGGCACCGCCAGTCACGGATAGCGGTCGCCCATCCGGCACCGTCAACGAGATCGCCACTGCACTTGGGCAGTCGCATATCACCCCCAAGCAGCTGGCGGAGGCTGTGTGGCGCCATTTCTTTGTAATCATCGCTGAAGAGGGGATCTCGCGTGGGGAAATCGTGAAGCGTTTCGAGACTGCGATGGACAAGAGTCTCACACTCCACCGCCGCACTCCGACTGGCCGCGACCCCCTGCCGCTCCTCGCTGTGCGACTGAACGAGTGGGGCCACCTCACTGTGCTGAAGCCGGATGGCACAGAGGAGACCCTTGTCGCGGAGTATCTCTTTTAAGGGCGACAACGATAAGTCGAGGGGCGTGGGTCGGGAGGCGGGCGCAAACCGTATATATATATGGCCCCTGTGCTGCCGTAATTGCGTTATTGCTATTGCTGACGGTTGAAACTAACAGCCTGGGTTGATGCCGCCCTTCCGTTTTCCATACACCCAGCTTTTTCCCGCCCCTATTTTTCTTTTTTTTT